ATGTTTTAGTTTCCTGTGGTTGCAGTAATGAAGTATTGTCATCAGCATCATCATTGTCATCATTATCACCATCATCCTCATCATCATTTTCATTGTCATTGTCATCATCGTTATCATTGTCATCATCACCACTGTTGTCATCTTCACCATCATCGCTGTCATCATCATCAGCATCATCCTTATCATCTTCATTGTCATCATCACCATTGTTATCTTCACTATCATCACCATCATCATCATCACCACCATCCTTATCATTTTCATTGTCATCGCCATCATCATCATCATTGTTGTCTTCACCATCATCACCATCATCATTGTCATTATCATCACCATCAACATCATCATCACTGTCATCATCACCATCATCATGATCATTGTTGCCATCATCATCATCATTATCATCATCATCATTGTTGCATTGTCACCATCATCACCACCATCAGTATCATTGTTGCCATCATCATCATCATCACCATCATCATCATCATTGTTACCATTGTTGCCATCATCATCGTCATCATCACCATCATCTCAGAATTGAGATGGTGAGAGCCTGGATTCAGGTTGTGGAAGCACAATTAGGCAGAAAGGGTCAAATTTGAGAGACATTATGACATAATGATGTATAGACTTAGAGAGAAAATAAATACTGGGGAGAAAAAGGAAAAGGGAGTTGGAGATGGCCGCACAGTATCCAGAATAGGTGACTGGGAAAAAGACAGAAGATTTGGGGGTGGCATCCAGCAGGAGCTGGAGGCCTGGGAGAGTGGGGCAGGGGGAAGAGCGGGGCATGGAATGCGAATTTGGGCTGCAGAGGTTGGAGCCACGAGGGGGACTGAGGTGAACGTTGATGGGGAAGGGCAGAGGCTCAAGGACTGAGCCTCCATTGTCAAGAGCAGACAGAGGGTTCAGGTCAGAAAAGATTCAGAGAAGGAGGGAGCCAAGCAGTAAAAGGAAAAACAGAAGAGGAAGCTTGGAGTTTTGCTCTTTTGCTGTTTTATTGTCAATGTTGTTTTATTGTTGTTTTTCGGAGAGAGAGGCCTTCACTTCCTGAGTGGATCACAGTGATCAGCGCCTTATTTAGCTGCCTAACAGAGGAAAGAGTGTGCCCTTGCTGGGGGAAACCAACCTTTACTCCAGCGTCTGCAGTTCTTTCAAGCACAATGCCCAGAAGACAATCAAAAATTATGATACTTGAGAAGAAGTAGAAAAATGTGACCCTTAATCAAGAGGTAAAAATTGGCAACAGAAGCAGACTGACACATGACACAGATGTTAGAGTTATTGAACAAGGACTTTAAAATAACTAGTACAAATATGTTAAAGAATTTGGAGGAACACGTAAAATGCATCAAGAGGCGGAGAACTTCAACAGAGAAATGGAAATGCTGAAAGAGAACCAATGGACATTCTACAACGGAAAACTCGGGGTTTGAAATGAAGAATTTGTTGTGTGGGCTTAACAGCAGAAGAAAAGATAGTAAGACAGAGAAAGGCATTCCAGGTGTGTACTTAAGCGAGAAAGACTAATTGTGAACACAGGGTCATCACATCATTTGTGTACTTGATTTATGTGAATTCAACCATACGCTTGGGGCAAACATGGGTCAATGGAAATGATCCAAAGTGAAGCATAGAGAGAAAAGAAATGAAAAAAAAAGAACAGAATATTGGTGACACATGAAGCAATGACAAAAAGTTCATCATACATGCATACTTGTAATGGGAGTCCCAGAAGGAGAAGAGAGTAAGAACGGGACAGAACAGATGATGGCTGAGGATTTTTCAAAATTGGTAAAATATATCACCCCACAGATTTAAGAAGCCTAGAAAATCCTGAAAAGGATAAAGACAAAGAAAACCATGCCCAGGCACATCATAGTGAAACTGCTAAAAACTAAAGATACGAAGAAAACCTTGGCGACATCCAGAGAAGAATGACGGATTGCCTCCAGGGGAACAACAATAGGAATGATGGGTGCTTTCCAATTAGGGACGATACAAGCCAGAGACAATTTAATACACCTTCCAAGCACCGATGGAAAGAACTTCCAACCTGGAATTCTACGTCCTTCCCAAGTGAGTGCAAAACAAAGATCTTTTCAGACAAACAAAAGCTGAAAGAATTTCTTGCCAGCAGACCTACACGACAAAAACGAGACCAGAGGAAGTTCTTCAGGCTGAAGCAGAGTGATCTCTCATGTGAGCATCCATCCGCAGAAAGGAAGAGAGAGCACCACAAAAGTCCAGAGAGGAGGAACAAAGGATGAAAGAGGAGGTGGAACAAACGAAAAACCAAGAGCAGGACGGCAGATTTGAACCCAACCCACCATATCAGTAATTACACTAAACCGAAATGGGCTAAACATGCCAGTGAAGAGACAGAGCTTTGTCAGAATGGACAGGAAAATCCAGACTCAACTGTATGCTATCGCCAGAGACACAGTTTAAATCAGGACACAAACTGATTGAAAGTAGGAGGGGAAAGATACGATGCAAACTCTAATATAAGAACACTGAAGAGACTGTATTAACATCAGACAAAGCAGACTTCAAGACAAGGAGCATTACCTGAGCTACAGAGGGACATTTCAATGTGATGAAAGTGTCGATTCATCAGGGAGACAAAAGGGAAAGAAGCCCTCAGGATGTTTGTAGTCACGGGCAAAGAGCCTGTGGACAGTGAGGTCACAGATGAAAGAAAGGATGAGTGATTGATGGGGCAGAAAGCTTGGAAAGGAGACAAGACTCATCTCCCTTCAAGAAAGGGATGAGGAAGAGACACAGAGAACACCCAGCAGGGGAGAAAGTGTGTCTGAAGGCAGAGGGCGAGTCAGCGGGGCCTTGAGCCAGTAATTGCAGCCTCATTAACAAAGAACATGGCACAGTCGTTTTCTGGGAGAGTGAGGTAGGTTGTCCACAGGGCCCTTCATCAGTGGGCATAAATGGGAAAAAGGAGGGGGTAATCCAGAGCTGTATTCAGTACCTCCTCTTCAAACGCTTATCGGTGCCTCCTGTCTACCCAGCAGGGCTGGGGGCCAGAGCCCAGGGTGAAGATCTGGACATGTGCACCAAGCTAATTCATAAGTTGAGTCTCTCCAGCCCCAGGCTGTGTCCAGGAAGGAGACCACTGTGCTGTGTGACCTTGGACAAGCCCTGGTCTCTCTGGGCCTCAGTTTCCTCGGCTGGGTACCGGGGTACTTCCCCTGGGGGAAGTGGTGCCCAGGTGGATCTGCCCAGCTCTGCCTGTCCACAACCTGTGACTCCATCAGGAAGGCCTGAGCACAGCGCTTACACGGCCTGTCTAGGAAGCAGGTCTGGACGCTAGCCTCCCGGCTCCTGGGACAGCCCTGGGTGGGCCGTGAAGTGGACCAGGCTCACCTGTGCCCAGGTGGGTGGCTTGGCAGGAGCCGGGCAGGTAGTTTACACGGGGCGGAGGGTGAGAGCAGGGGCGCAGCGTTGTGCCTGTCACGTGAGATGGAAGCCTAGTTCTGGGGGGGCCGTGCGTGCGGGTGAGAATGTGTGTGTGTGTGAGTGTGGGAATACGTGTGTGATGTGGGCAAGAGAGCGTGTGCGTGTGTGGGTAAGAGTTGTGCATGTGTGTCTTTGTGAGTGTGAGGTGATGAGTGAGTCAATGTGCATGTGTGGGAATGAGTACGTGGTATTTGTGAGTGTATTTGTCTTTGTGGTCTATGCGTGTGTCTGTAATGTGTGTGGTGTGTGTGTCTATAGTGTGTGTATGACATCTGTGTCCATGGTGTGTGTGTATGTAAGAGATGGTGTCCGTGGCGTGTGTGTGTTACGTGTATGACGTGTGTATGTCCATGGTGTGTGTGTGACGTGTGTGTGCACCACCCCCCCCACCGCGCACCCGCCTCTCCTGGCCCGGCCCTCTCTCCCCACAGCCCCGCCTGCCGTCTGCCTCCTGCCTCCTCTGCTCCACGGGGCCCCTCACTGCGGAAGCGGGAAGCATCGTGGCTGGAGCTGGCTCTTGCCTCCAGGCCGGTGGGGAATTCCTGCTCCGGGGGGGCATCTGGCCTTGGCCCCAGTCCCTCCGTCCTGTGGGAGGGTGTTCTCTGAAACCCGAGCAGGGCCAGGCACGCGCAGGACCGTGGAGACCCAGAGGGGCTCCTCACGCAGACAGCCCCGTGGCCTCCCTGCCACCTGCCACCCGCACCGTCCCAGGACCCTCAGCAAGTCCCTCAGACCCGGCGATGAAGCATCAGACGACGGGCCAAGAAGAAGAAAGTGACAGGAAGCACAGGGCAAGCTGATGTCTGCGCAGACACCGCGGCTCCATCTCCAGGGGAGCTGGGTGCGCAGGGCAGGTGCTGGGGCTGGAGTTCGGCACGGCCCACCTGGCTCTCAGCACACCAGCTGGGTGACCCCAGACAAGTCACGTACCCCACTGAACCCCCACTGTAAAACGGGGGCGGCAAGGTGGGGTGGCTGACAAGCTGAGGCCCCTAACGCTGCACCCAGTGGAAGAGCGTTCGCTGCCCCTCATCTGTTTCCTACATGGAATGACAGGCCCCCGGGGTCAGGGCTGGGGACACCTTGCGGAGGTGATGGGGAGAGTGTCCCCTGTGCTCTGCACGTCTGGATAGCGCCGTTCAAGAACCTGCTTCCGAACACTCTATTCGAGCTAACACTCTGATTGTGGTTCAGGGGGACACCGGGGGCAGAGCATGTGCCAGAGAGGTGCTCTTGTGTCACTGACAGCTGAGGAGGCAGCTTGGGAACCAGACGGTGCTGTCCTGATCCTGGGGGAGTCTGGGCCCAGGGCCAGGCCACCAGGTGGGCCCACTGGAGCGCTGGAGAGCAGGGCCATCTGGGACGAGGGGCTGCTGTGGCCACTGCTGCCCGTGCCAGGATCCTTGAGCCCTTAGCTGGGAGGATCCACTCCATTCTCAGGCCTTTTCTGTCTTGGAACACCCGGTCATCCCCAAAAATCCCAGTCAGTGTCCGGGGTGGTGGCCAGCTCGGGACAAGCAGAACTGTGGCAGCCACTCTGTGTCCCTCAGGCCGCCGTCCTGCTCTGCTGGGGCTCAGCCTCCACCCGGGGGTCTGGCCTGCGCGTGTCAGGCCCCTGATGTCTACTGGTATTTACTAGGCTTCCGTCAGGGTCCACAGGTGCTGGCACAGGGCTCCAATGGGGAGTGAAAGCCCCTGCACCTGCCCTCACAGGCTTCGGTCTCTGCGGCCCTGTTCAAATGACCTGGAGGGTCCAGGCTCCTGTTGGCCCCGGTCTCGCTCGCAGGGCCCAGCCCTGCATGCCACATCACTCACGGAGAGAAACCGGACACCGTCCCTGGGCCCGGTGAGTGAGACACTGGTCTTGGTGCAAAATTTAAAGGGGACACTAAAAATCTTACTAATCGAGATCAATATTATTTCAGGGCAACACTCTTCAAAATCGAAAGTAATGCAAAATTCATGATAAAAGTATCAAACTTTTAAACAAAGGCAGGTTCAAGCCCCGCCCCAGGGCACCCTGATTCCGCAGGAACCGGCCGCCTCCGGCTGTTTCCATAGCAACCAGCCCTGATGTGCAGGCAGTTGAGGCGCATGAGACACGGGAGGGGAATCCCTACCAGGAAGAGCCTCGCTTCCCGCTTCCCGGGCTTCCTTCAGAGGGAAAACAACATTCCAGGGATGAGGTAAGGAAATCCCTCCTCCGGGGAATTTCCCAGAGTGCTGTGGGGAATCCACCCTCCACGTCATGGGAACGGAGCCTCCGTCCGTCCCCAGCGGCCCCAAGACCTCTCTCTCCCTGGGGGAACGTCGCTCCCGGACCCAGGCACAGAGAAGAGGCAAAGTGGGCAATGGTTGAACTGAACGGCGTTTCCTAACACATTGCCCCTTCAAATAATTATTTTTGGGGATTGAGCCTAGTAACAAGAAAGTAAAAAATAGTGTGAGTGCATCTGATGGCATTTTCTTTATTAAAAGCCCTTGCCGGTCGCTGATAAATCTGAGGATAAATTGAGGATAAATCTTGAGGATAAATCTGAAGGAAAGCTGAAAGCTGCTTCCAGACTCCTACAGCTGGGGAAGTCCCTCCTGAGGGCAGTTGGTTGTCTTGAGTAGGGGGGGTGGGGTTGTGAAGAAGCAGATGTTGCATTCAAATTGGGTCATTTGAGGAGCGTTCACTAAAGGGACAATTTGCAAAAGTGTAGACAGGCCTTAGGAAGCGAGGCAGGGGTGGGGGATGTCCTGGGGGTAGCACAGGGCGGGGTGTTGACTCCTAGACGGGGGGGGGGGGGGGGGGGGGGGGGGGGGGTGTCCAGTGACTGACCTTAGGAGCCCTGCAGTCACGGTGGGCAGAAAGGCCTGGGGGGCAGTGTGGACACGTGCTGGATCAGTCAGGGTTGTCAGAGGAGCAGAGCCAGCAGGATGCGTGCGCACACACACGCACACAGAGGGCAGTGGAGTTATCTATTGCTGTGTAACAAATTACCCCAAATCTCAGCAGTTGAAAACAACAAACGTTTCTTATCTTACAGTTTCTGTGGCTCAGGGATTGGAGAAGAGCTCAGGGTTTCTCATGAGGTTACAGCCACGATGTCAGATGGAGTTGCTTCATCTGAAGGTGTGAGTGGGGCCAGAGGATCTGTCGGCGGGAGGCCTCGGTTCCTCACGGGCTGTCAGCGGGAGGCCTCGGTTCCTCAGACTGCTGCTGGTGGGAGGCCTCGGTTCCTCACGGGCTGTCGGCGGGAGGCCTCGGTTCCTCACGGGCTGTCGGCGGGAGGCCTCGGTTCCTCACGGGCTGTCGGCGGGAGGCCTCGGTTCCTCACGGGCTGTCGGCGGGAGGCCTCGGTTCCTCACGGGCTGTCGGCGGGAGGCCTCGGTTCCTCACGGGCTGTTGGCGGGAGGCCTCGGTTCCTTGCCACATGGGCATCTCCATAGGGCTACTTGAGTGTCCTCACAACATGGCAGCTGGCTTCCCCCAGAGTGAGTGATCCAAGAGAGAGCAAGGTGGAAACCACCATGTCCTTTGTGACTTAGTCTCAGATGTCACTTACCATCACACAGACCAACTCCAGAAACAGTGTAGGAGGGGACTCCAGCAGGGGGTGAGCACCAGGAGGTGCACACCACTGGCTGCCTTCTTGCCAACCAGCCATGACAGATAGAGTGAGTACAGGACTGTGAGGGAGATTTTTGCCGGAATTGGTGGAATTGGTGACTAAATTTGAAAACGGCAGCGGTACTCAGTGCCCCCCGACACTCCCCCCACGACAGGCACACACTCATCCTAAGAGCCCCCCAGGGCAGGAAGCCTTCCCGCAGGGTTCAGTGCGCGGAACTCACCAGGGCAGACACCCAGCCCCAGCCCCAACCCAGCCTGTGTGTAGGGCTGGGGGAGTCAGAGCTGGTGGCTCCCGGGAGGAGCCAGCCCCACGGATGGAGGGGCCCCGGGGAAAGGAAGCACGCCCGTGTGCCCACCCCAAGCCCCGTGAGATGCCAGGAGGGAGGGAAGCATGAGCAGGGTGTGAGAGGAGTGTGTGAGACGGATGGACCTCACCTGGCTAACCCAAGCGGACCAGGTGTGTGTGGCATCTGTGCAAGGGCTCACGGGCCAGGGAGGCGGCTCACAGAGCGTGGCCAGAAGCCGCCATCGGCTGAAATAGTGCAGTTTTGTGTTCACACCACGTTGAGGCTCTGCAGTCCATCGCGGACAGAGAAAGAACACACACGGAGCTGGCTTCTCTGCTTCTCCTGCAGGAGCATCCATCACCTGCAGCATTTTCAGAGCAACCGTGACTGTGAATGCATTTGTCTGCATTTTAAGGAGCTGGTGTTCAGCCTGGTAAATAAAAAGAGAGGATGAGAGAAGAAGGGAGTTAGAAAGAGAAACGCCGAGAGACGAAGTGAGCTAGGACGCCTGTGCGGACACCCATCCTGAGATTTCACTGTTTGCTGCGATGAATGGTGACTCCGACCCGGGGTGTCTTTGGGATCCCTGATCGTACCTCCCACTGCAGGCTCAGTAGTGTCTGCACAGCAGGAAGGCCTCTCTTGGCCCCTGGGGAAGGAGGGCCTTGGAAGCAGCCAGCCCAATGGGGAGAGGCCAAGGCAACACACCACTCACGGGGACCCAAATCCATTTGACGTCACTACCCACCCCTGGGAGCAGGGTGGTCCTACTAACATCAGTACAGGCAGCGGAATACTTAATTCACATTCTCACAAAGATCGAGCCCCTTTCTTCCAGATTCGGGGATGTGATAATTTGGGACATCAATTCAGATGAACTTAAATTAAAAAGAGAATTTATTGGCTTACATCCTACATCACCCAGGGCAGCTTCAGGCATGGCTGGATCCAGAACCCCAAGTGACGACCTCAAGGTTCTGCTTCTCTGCCAAGGCTGGCACTGGGAGTCCTGCCCAGGGTGATCATGGCAGCCACTGTCCAGCACCCGTTTCACATTTGCCCATCTCACTGTCCCCAAAGTGAATTTTGCAGGTCATGGGTTTTGAGTTGGGTTGAGCCATGTGATAACTGTGAGAAGGGCATCAAGGGGAAGGAAAGCCTGCCCACCTCTTCCTCTGGTCAATTCTACTGCGGAGTTTAGTCCTTCAGCTTGAGACCACCAGAGGAGGAAGATGTGGGCAGCTGGGAGGCCTCCCAGAGATGACCTTTGTCACCTCATAATTTCCCCAGAGCCCACGCATGCCACTCCCTCTGGCCAAGGAGCCCCTAAGAGAGGGGTGGCCACTCAGGAAAGACTGTACTCACCTACGTGCCAGGCATCGTGCGAGGGGCTGGGGGTACAGAGACGCCCAGGATGCACAACGCTCCTACCAAGAGCTCCTCCATTCTGCTAGGGAAGCGTGGACACTGCCCAGCCTCCCTCCCCTGTGCCGGGCAGCACATCTCTCTTTTCCATGGGGCTGACCCTAACCAGTACAAGGACGATGCAGACCCCATCCAACAGCCACAGTGGTTGGTTCTGGGATGCTCACGTGACCCAAGCCGCACTGCAAGAACTCTTTCTGGGACTTGTCTGTAGAGTGACCAGAAAATCAGCCTCTTCCCACTGGGGCTGCTAATTTGGTAGGAGTAAATGGGATTGCCAAAGTCTACCTCCAGCCCACGGGCAGAGAGTTGACGCACAGAATAAAGTCAAAGACAAGCAGAACTAAGACATGGAGGGTGAGGTAGAACCTTGAGGCCAACATTTGGGCTCCTTGATCCACCCACGCCTGAAGCTGCTTCTGGGTGATATGGTTAATATAAGCCAATAAATTGTCTTCCTGTTTATGTTCATTTGAATGGGAATTCTGAGCCAAGAGAGTTCTAACTAATACAGAGAGACCAACAGTGATGCAGGAAGGCCAGGTTAATGTACTAGGCATTCAGGCAGGGGTGTGCAGAGGCACTATGGAAACAAGGAGAAGGGCAGGGCGGGGTCTCTAAGGACACCTGCAGCTACCCAGGCAAAGGCCCTCAGAGCATCCTAGGCAAGGGAACCGCATGAACATCGGCGAGGATGGGGGCAGGGACTATATACGACTCGAGATGGCCGTGAAGGGCTGCATAGGGCAGGGAGTGGGGGGTGAGGCCGGGTGTCGCAAAGCCGTGAGGCGGGCATTGTGTGGGCAGCACCGCCTCTTTCCGTCCTGGAGCAGTGAGGCGATTAAACACTCGGGGACACACAGAGCAACCGAACGTAACCTGCAGATAAATCCTTGCTGCGTCTTCCTCCAGCAGCCTGGTGGGATCCACGGACCACACGCCTCTTCCCGCAATCCCTGCATCCCTCCGGCCCGCTGACGGCTCAGCAGATAAACTGAGGCAGGGCAGCTCGGCTTGCAGTAAACGTGCCATGCCTTCCTCTTCCCAACCCCTTCCCCCTTTTGACCACAGGATGGATCCCTCTTTCCCCTTCTTCCCCCCTCCGTCTCCCTGCCCACGCCTTGATCCATGGGGCCCATCAAGGCTCTCTGGGCAGCACCCCCAGCCTCCAGCCTGGAACCCCAGACCCTGCGCCTCTACCACCCTGCCCTGTTTCTGGGGCTGGTTTGTGACCTGAGATGGGGGAAGGCCCAGCCTTAGAGCTCCAGGGGAGCTGCAGAGGGTTCCCGGAGGGACAGAGGCGGGCAGGGAGCTTGTCACAACTCTGAAAGCCACGCTGGCCTTCAGCTTGGGGTGGATGCGATGCCTGATGTCCTCAACCCAAGGTCACGGAGAGCACGGTCTCCCAGGTTTCCTGAGCAGAGAGCAGGCAGGGTGAGGAAGGAAGCTTTACAGGGGCTCTGATACCTGGATGGGTCCCTCTGAAAGCGTTTGCCCAGCGGGGCGCCTCCCTCACACCCTCAACCCACCCCCACTGGGTCAGACCCTCAGGAGAGAAGGCCGGCAGACAGGATTCCCGAGTTATTGTCTGATTTAGACTATAGTGTCTATGTCTCCTCAGAGCTGTGCTTGGATAGGCCTGGAAGCTGGACCTGACCACTGAGCACAGCAAATTCCTGCAGGAGCCGTTCTGGAGGATTCCCAGCCCTCCTGGGCAGGGTGGGGACTTCCCTGAGCAGGAGCCAAGGGGAAGGATGGGCACCTCCACCACGGCAGCCCCAGGAGGCCGAGACGATCCTGCAGAGACCAGCAGAGGGGCCTCCTGGCAGGCCGAGCCTCCAGGGGCCAGGGGCCACAGCCTCCAACTCCCAGGAGGGACCTGACAGGCGGACTGTCCCAGGGAATTCAGAGTTGAGGCTGCGGGGTCTCTGCACTGGGCTCTGAGTCTGTGCCCCCAAAGGAGCAAAGAAAAAGTCACCCATGTGTCAAAGTCAAGGATGAAATGCCACCTGCAGAGGACCCGAGTTTATGCAATAACTCAGAGCAACGTGGGTGCAGAGAAGCTGCCGAGCTCACGCCCAGCAAGCCAGTGACTCAGCGCGGCCCCGAGGCCAGAGGGCTGGTGGCCTGTGGCTCAAGGCCGGGCCCACAGGACGGGGGCGGGGAGGGGCTGGAAATCCCAGCGCTCGCCCTCGGCCTGAGACTTACAGGCACCCGAGCCAAGCAGGCACACACTGGCTGGCTCTGCCCAGCCTGGCCGGCCCAGGCTCTCCCCGCCAGGGCCCTCTTGGGAGCAGGTTTTTGTCGCAATATTTGACGATAAACTGAGGCGGGGCAGCTCGGTTTGCAGTAAACGTGCATTTCCTTCTGTCTGGACGCACGGGATTCCGGTGGCCCTGGAAGGAGGAGGTCTGCGTCGATCTGGTTTCTGGAGCAGAGGGCGCTGGCCTTGGTCGGTGGCTGCCTCCGTCTAGCCCCTCGGGGCACGCGGGACACAGCACCTCGATCCCGCACGGTCCCCTGCCTCCTCCAAGGCATCTGGCATGGTTGTGACCGTGTGGAATTTTCCCCGTGACAACAGAGGTCTCAGACTCAGGGACACGTGCACACATACACACATGCACACGTGCCTGCACATGCAGGCAGCGCTCGCACATGCCCGCACAGCTCCCTGCACTGTCCTGCCTGGCTGGCAGCTGGCACGGGGCACATCAGCTTGGCTCTCATGAGCCTCCCAGAGCCCCGGGGCCACAGGTGGCTGAACGGCGGGGCATGGGCAGGGCCGAGGGAGCAGAAGCCCCGCTAGGGGCAGAGGGGCCTGAGGCCCTGAGGATACTGGGCTGCAGGCACCGGTCAGCCCAGGCCAGCCCACAGGCCTGGAGAGACAGAGGCCTGCTGTCCACAGCCCTCACCGCACACGGCATGGGGGGCAGCTCCTCCGCCCCATCCTGCACTGCAGGGTGGGGGTTGCTCCCGCGTGGTCACCTCTCCCTCGAGGTCACCTCTCCCCCTGTAGTCACCTCTCCCCCTGTAGTCACCTCTCCCCCGTGTGGTCACCTCTCCCCATGTAGTCACCTCTCCCCCTGTAGTCACCTCTCCCCCTGTGGTCACCTCTTCCCCTGAGGTCACCTCTCCCTCTGAGGTCACCTCTCCCTCTGTGGTCACTTCTCTTCCCACGGTCACTTCTCTCCTGAGGCCACCTCTCCCTCTGTGGTTACCTCTCCTCTGTGGTCACCTCTCCCTTGTGGTCACTTCTCCCCCTGCAGTCTCACTGACCAACATGACACTCCCTTCTCCTGCCAGGGGCTTGCCCCTCTGGCCCTGTTGGTCAACAGCGCTGTCCCTGGGCTCAGGCACCTGATCTGGAGTCACAGGGGCCGGCACCACCTGACGGGCTGGATGGGGTCTGAGTCACTGAGTCCCTCCGACCTCAGCTTCCTCCTCCGCAGCTTGGGGACGGAATATCTGCTTTTCAAGTCTGTTGTGGTGACCAAGTCAGAGCAACCAGGAAGCCAAGTTCCTGCCCCTGCATGCGCCTGGGTCCGCATGCAGATGTGTGCAAACACATCCATCACGGGAGCAGTCTGTTTCGGGTTAAACCCCGTCCAGCCTCCCGGCCACCCCCTTCCTGTCCCCTGGCCTCCTCGGAGAAGGCGGCTGGAGGATGTGCCTCCCACTCGGGGTGAAGCAGGGGGAATTGAGGCGCATGGCGAGCTTGGGGGCACAGACACAGCCCTGTGCCCTATGCTCTGCTCTGCTTTCTGCAGCCCCAGCCTCGGGGCTTAGCGTCCTCATCCGGGCACTGGAGACACCTGTCCCACCAAGCGGGCATGAGGGTGAGTGACCGCGTGTGACAGGCAGCACCTCGCCTGAGGGCACCGGCACTTGCTCTGCTCCCTGCTCGCTCGCTGGGCTGGGGCACCTGCTGACTAGACCCAGCGCTGGATTTATCACCCACCAGCAGGACACAGGCGTCATCTCTGCCCAACCTGGTGACTCTGCAGCTGCTGCTCCTGCTCCCTCTGCCTCAGTTTCCCCACTGGCTCCCCACAGTCCTTTCCTGGGGACTCTCCTGCTGTCCCCGACCTGTGGCCCGGGTCCACAGCCCCTGGCACCTCTGGAGAGGTGTCTCCAGCTGCCCTGAGCGTGGGGAAGACTCAGAAGAAGGCTTTCCTCAGGGAGCAATGATGACGACTGTGCCGCAGGGCTGCCTCCTGAGAGCCGACGGCCCACCGAGGCCCCCGGCAGACGTGGTCTGCTCAGCCAGCAGAGCCTGTCACCTCTCTGGGCTCATTCCCTCACGTCTGCCCAAGTCCCATCCCAAGGGAACTGCAGATGAGCATCCTTCGTGGGGCAGGAGTTGGGGGACCTGAGCCCCACACCCCCAGGCCTTTGCAGGCTGCTCTGGAGCGGGAGCCTGAAGCCAAGGGCGGAGAAGATGGGTGACAGGGTGCTGCCCTGAGACGCCCGGCGGGCTCTCCCAGGCAGCTGAGAGGTTTCCATGTGTGTCCCGGGTTCTGGCTGTGAGTGGGCAGGGGGCCCCTGAGGTTCCAGAACCAAGACCCGCCCAGCGCCCACTACCGTCTTCCACACACCCTGCACTTGTGACTTTCTATCCTGCACTTGCTCTGCCCGCTTGGGGCAAACCACTTCCCTCTGGAGTTTTCGTTTCCCCTTTCCCCAAGGATGGGAGGCCACCTGCCCGGCCCAGGCTGGGCCCTCTCCAAGGGCAGAAGCAGCACCAGGCCTGGTGCATGAGGCTCAGAGCCAGCCTCGCACCCAGGGGCAGCAGGGAATTGTGGACAGTGGTGTCCTTCCTAAATACAAGTGGAGAGAGGTGCCACCTGCCCCCAGAGGAGAAGGGACACGGGGCCAGAGAATAGCCATTGTCTGGGCCCCCAGGACTCTCTGCTGCGGGCACCACTACCTGCCCCTTGCAGCCCCGCCCAGGCCCCGGGTGCAGGAGTCCCACGCCCAAGGATCAAGGCTGAGAGACAGCATGGTGCAGCTCCCTCCCGAGCATCCTTCCCACAGCTTCTGCACCAGAAGGCTACCCTCCCCTCGCCAGCCCCAGGTCACCCCAACACGTCTGCTGGGGTCCCCACTGGCCGGTCCCTGCATCTGAAAAGACCAAGACGAGCACCCATCGGCAGTCTGCACCCCTTGCCCGCTGGGCGGTGGGATGAGGCTCTGGGCCCAGAATCGGCAGCTGGCTTGCTGCTGTGCTGAGCCCCCCACCTCAGGCCCTGCTCACCAGCCCCAGCCTGCTGTAGCCACTGGGGATGGTGCTGGCCCCAACACAAGCCACCCACTCCCCTCCTACTTGCCAGGCCCCTTGTGTGGTTGGGCTGGGGCAGACCATCTACCAGCCTCTCCACCTCCACCCTGGCCTTCCCGGGCCTGCCCTCAATGGCCGAGTCTCTGAGCATCTCCCCTCCCTACACTGTCCACATGCCAGGCCCTGGCCACCTCCCCGCCACCCCGCAGAGTGGCCCTCGCCTAACCTGACCTGCTGAGCTGGGGGCTCCCCGGGCCTCTCAGACCCGGGCCCTGGGAACCGGCTGCCCCTCCCTGCTGGGTGGTTGTGGTCCCCGCAGGCCGGGGAAGCCCCAGAGCCGTTTCTTGGATAAATAGAGCCTGGGCCCCACAGGCAGCCAGTTCCGCTTCCCCAGCAGCCCCACGGGGATGGGAAGTGTTGTTTGCTCCAGGAGGGGGGCACCCTGTGCCCCTCGCTTGGGTCCCGCTTCAGACACACAGCCCAGGCACATCTTGACCCCTTCCCACAGGAAAGGACATGTCGGTACAGGGTCTTAGGAATTTCACATCCCTCTGAGATCCTGGCTTAGAGAGGTCAGGGCTTCCCTGAGGGGGCAGTCGGCCAGGGAGGGAGGGCTGCCCTTCTGTTTTCTGCCTCCGTCTCCCCAGCTGGGCTGCCGTCTCTCTAAAGAAGCCTCTGCTTACAGCACAGGTGTCTGTTTCGAAGCAGAAACCCAAGCGTTTGTCAGGAGGATGGAGTCCTTCCACTGGGAAAACACTTCTTGACAACATGGGTCATGGAGCGCATGGAGGGCAGGGGATCAGAGGGCATCCTGGAGCCGCTGACAACCAGAACCGGCATCAGGACTCCAGGCCTGGCCCACTGGAGGCGTTCCTCCCCAGGAGGCCCTGTGAATTGACGCTGTGGGTCCCTCATCCTCCAGATAGAGGAACTAGCCCCCTTGGGCCTCTGTATCAGGGTCTTGGTGCTGCTGCATCAAATACCACAGACAGGGACGCTTAAAACAACAGACATTTATTCTCGTACATTCTGGAGGCTGGACATCCAAGCTCAAGGTGTCGCAGGGCCGCACTCCCTCCAGAGGCTCCAGGGGAGGGTCCTTCCTGCCTCTCCCAGCTCTGCAGCTTCTGGAGGCCCCAGGCGCTCCTTGGCTTGTGGCAGCCACTCTCTGCCTCCACCTTCACAGTCCTCACGCGTCCTTCTCCCCTCTCCGTATATCCAGAACTCCCTCTCCTTACAAGGACTCCAGTCCTATCGGATTTGGGGCCTGTCCTGCTGACCTCAGCTTAACTTGATGACATCTGCAAAAACCCAGCTTCCAGATAAGGTCACACTCACAAGCACCGGGTTTGGGACTTCAACACATCATCTTGGGGGACCCAATGCAGCCCACGCACCCTCCTTCTTACAAAGAAGGTGCCTGTGGAAGTCTCGTCAGATGCAGGGACTCGCTTCCCCCTGGGGTTCCGGCCACTGACTGCATGCCTGCTCTTAGGCAAGGTCTCCCGGCTGTGGGGAGGGGCCCCACAGGGCAGTGATGGCAAAGAGAAAGGGGGTCTACCTCGGAGGCTTAAAGAGTTCCGTCACTTTGCAGTTGGCTCTGGGGTCAGGCCACCGGGTATGATGACCCACCACCATTTACTGCCAATGTGTTCTGGGACAAGGGGTGTCACCTTCAGTTTCTCCATCCACGGGGTGTGCTGACCGGGAGACAACCAGAGAGCTTGCGTAGAGGACCAGGGCTGAGCGAGCCCTCGGGGCGGGCTGTTATCCGGCCACAGAACCTCGGTCCCCCAGCAGAGGGAAGGAAGATGGGCAGGGGTCCCACGCTCTGCCTGGACCCTCCTGCCAGCTGCCAGGCCTGTGGCTCCAGCGCAGCCACAGGACGTCAGCTTTGTGCGCTCCAAGGTTATCCCTTGAGGCCTCAGTGTCCCCATCTGCGACCCTGTGGGGACAAGGTCTCTTTGCCTCCAGCCTCCCCAGTGGATGAGGCTCCAGGCCTCTGAGCTCGGAGGAGGAGCCCAGGAATGGAGGGAGGGAAAACCAGGCTCCCTGGGCTCCCTTGGAGAGGGCCGCCCTGCTCTGAAGGGGCCCGAGCCCAACATCTCCCACAGCTGGAGACATGGCATACCCACCCTCCATGCCGGCACCCATCCCTGCGCCAGGATGGCCACTCCCTCCCAGGCAGGCCCGAGCCCTCTGCAGGCGCTGCTCGGGGCCAGCTGCCACCAAGGGCCCAGGAGAGGGGAGAGGTGACCCCCCAACACCTCAGCACAGGGGTCTCGAATGCCAGCTCTGCCTGCACCCCTCCTTGCATGCTGCTCTGACTACGCACTACTGACCGTGGTTAGCCCAAGGCGGTGACCAGCCCTGACGTCACCTGGTCCCGGGGGTCTTTCTCCTGCCTCCATTGCTGGCATACGTGCAGGGGAGTGTCCCCTTCCCCCTTCAGGACCCGGCTTTGCTCTCTGTTCACAGAGGGCAGCTCCATGGCTGCATCCAAGCTTACTGCCCCCACCCGCACTGGCCACCAGCCCAAGTGACCTGCCACAAGAGGCCCCATGGCCTCCCCTGACCTCTCTCCTGCACCCGCTCAGCAGGG